AAAAATTATGACCAGTGTTAAGGTTCCATTAATCTCTGTGGCGTTTGAAATGTTGTGAAATATAAGAGCACAAAACCTCTTTCTCCGCATTTCCTTTCGAACATTCCTCGCTGATTCCGAAGGGAACGAAGATCACAAAGAAATAAATGACTTCCATTTATCGATGATTAGCTCTTCGAAAAACCGGAAGTAAATTTGTGTAAGATGACCGGCCAACCTGAAAATATCTTCATTGCTGGTTCTCTTATGCACAGTATGCTTTTCGTTATCTTGCTATGTGTCTTCGATTATGTCTCATGCTGTAAAACCTAAGAGTACATTCATCAAAGTGATATTGGACGCGTGATCAAGCCAGGAAAGGAGTGCAGTGTTTCGATTTTCATGGAAAGGATGAAATTGTCGATTCTGTCGATCTTGACACTTCAATGACAGATAACTGGCGCAAGCATGTCTGACCTCGGGCAAAGCGGAAAGACGTTACTTTTTGATGCTCAATAAGTTTGGATGACCACCATTTTTCTGAACAGATCAGAAATTTCGTTTGCTGCGCTCGTTTACAGAATGCGAAGAACAAATCGCTCATTGGTTGCAGTTATTGACAGAGTTGAAATTCAGCATTCAGCATCGATCAGGAAAGGAAGACATGCCCCTGCTGCTGATGCACTGCCCCGAATGCTTTGGCGGTGCGAATTTCCTTCGACCGTAGAGCATGCTGGATTACGGAAGTGAGCGGAACATTTCTTCCGTATCAGTCAGAAGACGTTGAATCGAAACAGCCAATTCTGTGAATGACTGGCAGAATGTGACCAATCTCTTTATATGATGACTGCAGCAATGACTTAGAAACCCTGTGGAGGCAGTTCGAAAGTCTGTCTGTGGTAGATTCGTTGTACGAGTCTTCGTCGTTTTATGCCATCAGAATAGAGTAGTACCACGGATATGTTTGACGTACTTGCCGGTAATCACCTGTTTTTTTATATGAAACCATGTTTTGTGTATTGTATGTCAAGACATGTATGTTGTTTGTATGTTATACTGGCAGTTGCCTACAGTGATCGTCATCGCAGACGTTTTGAAATTAAAAAAGTCTTAAAGAGTCTGCTGATTTCATAAGAAGGGCAACCACCTTCCTCATTTACTGAAAATTCCGTCTTACGAAACAATATAAATTTGAGCTAGAATAACGTTTTATCTCTTGAACAATACTTCACAGAAAAATTATTATGCACTTAATCCAGTTCTTGATATTGTGGTTTATTTACTTAGTGTAAAGTATACTTGATGCTGTTAAGAATTTCTTTAGCTCCTCTTGTGCCTGCCAGTTGAACTTCTATGTCAAGGCTATGCATACCTCAACTTCATCTTCATCTTCCATCGCCGCTTCTCCTTTCGGGTCGCGGAGGCAGACGCGTCACACAGTGCTTCC